AGACTTTAACAGTCTACAGTCTTGCAGGAGAGATGTTCAGTGGTTAAGAGTGCATTCTATTATTGCTGAAGATGCAAGGTCTGTATCTAGCATCCATTTCCAACATCTGTGATGGACCATACCTCAGCTCCAGGAAGATGTGACCTCTCCTGACCTTTGTACGAACCTGCATTCATGTGTACATACACACAGAAATATACACAACATAACTATTATTAAGTTATGTACATTTTTAAATAATATACAACATAAAACAATAGTGAAATGTTAAAGAAAAATGCTCAAATGTCAGACAGTAATGAGAACAGTTGTCATCAGCATTATGTGGTAAATGCGTGCACTTCCAGCTATTTGAACACTAGGGTTACAGGATCATTAGTGCTAAGAAGTTTCAAAACAGCCTGAATAGGATAGAGAGGCCCTTCCTCAAAATGAAAACCAAACATAAACCAGAAATATCTCACAAAATGCTAAATTTCTGAGAATAGCAATCTTAGAAAACATGGTTTTTCAAGACATGTGGATCATTATAAAATAAATTTTTGCAAGGAATTCGATGATAAAATTACTTATTTCTTGGGAATTCAACAATACACATGTAGAAAATGGAATGAAAATGTTACTGGGCCGAGAAGAAAACAGTAGCATTAAGAATGTGTTTACATTAAAATGAATACTTGAGCTGGGGCAGTGTGCTAAGCTGGGAAGACCAGCAGCACTCTGAAGGCTGGGGGAGGAAGGGGAAGAGTCCCAGGCTGGGCTGGGCTGCTCCGTGAGACTCTGCACTAAAGACACAAGGTAGATATCAGGACTATTATCATTCCATTCACTGTGGGAAAGTTTCAGCTTAGTTCTGTCATGGGAAACCATCCTCTTTCCATCAAATGAGAGGCACAGCCCTGTGCGCCCCTGGCAGACACATTAAAGATTACCATCCCCTAAATGGGGAAGTGACTTCTTCACCACCACATACAGCAAGGCGCGCAGAAAATGGCAGCTGGGACTGTACTCACATAGCTCATTCTCCAGAGACTTCCCTGCAGACAGTCCTGTGCCTTAGGGGTAGGAATCAGCCCAGCAACAGGCACAGATTTACTTATGGCACTATAAGTGCTTTCCTGTGGTGTTTGAAATTTCGTATCCAGGAAGGAAAGTACTTTAAAGTGTAAACTGAGAAAATACTTGTGCTCGGGTGGTAAAAGCAGGGCTGGGGAGACAGCTAAATCAGTAAAGGGCTGGCCTTGTGGGCATGAGGCCCTGAGTTCCATCCCTAGAGAGCATCATCAAGAAAATGAAGTTAAACTACAGCAGAAAAAGTAGCAAGTGTGGTGGGAGATGCTTGTGTGTGAAAGTGGAGGCGAGCCCATCCCTGGAGTGTGCTGACCAGCCAACCCAGCCTGCCTTGCATGTTCCAGGCCAGTGAGAAACCTTGTCTAAGTAAACTTCAGGGGGATGGCGCCTGAAGTACAACACCAGAGGCTGTCTTCTGTCCCCTGACCACATGCATGTATGCATACAATGGCAGAGTCACACACAGACACACACATACGCACACACAGGCACACACCCACACATTGGATAAAGGATGTATATACCTTCTGAACTTTAGAAGTAGTCATTGTGTTCTGTTTCTGGGCAATGAAGAAGAAGGACAAATGGAATCGACTCTGATGCTTTATGCAGGCCTCTGTGTGTGTGGGGTGTGTGTATGTATGTGTGTGTGTTCGTGTTTACACAGAGCTCCACCATCTCTATCTAATGAGGCTGCTTTATGTTAGCCTTAGACTGGGATTGGTCTACAATCTCAGGTTTACATATGATATACCTAAGATGTCAAGGTTTATGTGCCAGGACAATATACTGAGGTGAAAAACACTGCCTTATATCCAGAGGTAAAGTCCCTTCAAGTCCAGGTCACAGCCAGTGTTCCCTCCCTCCCAACCACAGAATCTACTGGGCCCAAGATTCTCACTGATGTAGTTCCCACTATGGCCAGGAGGTGGCATTCAAACTACATGCCTACATTAATTTTCTTTAAAAGGGCTGATGTTTTATGGAATAGCAATGCGTTTTTAGTGTGTTTGGAAAGCTGGCACACATATAGAGCAGTTCCATTTATGGACTGCAGCAACTGTAGTGCTCCACAACTCACTTCATCCTCCCTGAGTGAAAAGTGGGCAGTACACACGGGATACAGAGTGGTTGGTGCTCTGTAGAGAATATGAATGTGGTGGTCACATTGAATCCCCTGACAGTGGGATGGATGAATTTCCTAGACTTTCCATCCCCTCTCCAGGAGGCTGTGGTACAGCCCCCATATCGCTCCCTGCCAGGCAAGTTGTATCCTGGTCAGTCACTGCCATTGTGTTGCATCATGCCTGCTGGGAATTTCCAAGAGCAACCTGGTGTTTGTGGTGTGATTGCCATGTATGCTTCCATGGTGTTTGTGGTGTGTTTGCCAGGTACTTTTCCATGAATATGGTCTGCATATGGTTCAGATGTAATATGTATTCACCCTTACGATGTGGACCTAGCTTGGGGGCCCTTCTCTGTTGCAGGAAGATCTCCAAAGTATTTCTTTTATCTCCCCATCATTTTAGAGCCACTAACTAGATACTGAAAGAGAAATTATGCCCTGTGCCCTACAAGAAGAGATAACACAGAAGAAAAGAGGCAGGAACCCCAAGTCCCTTGACAGCCACAGGCCATTGTCTGAGCTACTGTTCTATTGCTGGGAAGAGGCGCTGTGCTGAAGGGAATTTACAGAACCCAGCATTAAATTGGGAGCTTGCTGTCAGTGTCAGAGGGTTAGTCCAGTACCATCACTGTGGGCAGCATGGCAGCAGGCAGCCTGGCAGGGCACTGAAGCAGTAACTGATAGTTTACATCCTGATCACAGGAAGGGGCAGAGGGCTTTGAGATATCAGAACTCACCCCCAGTGACAAACCTCGTCCAATAGGGCCACACATCCTAAAATTTATTAAACCATCCACCATCGGGATTGAAACATTAACCATAGGAGCTTATGGGGACCATCCTCATTCAAACTACCACCGTCCTGTAAGGGATTTCCTCTGCCCCATCAGCAGCTGCAGAGGGAGAATTGGGGCTGGTTGAATACCCATAATGCATTGACGAGAATCTGTTCCAAGATGTCAGTCATTAATACAAGAGACTACTGTGTGACATTTGTTGCAAGCAGGAGGCCATTCAAGTTACTTGTCTAAAATAATGTGCTCTTCAGAAGACAGTAGTCCCCTTTTGGCCCTCTTCATGGATACACCTGGTAAAATGAAACTGTAAAGACCTTGAGTACACAGGAATTTACAAAATGCCATCTGTCGTGGTCACTGTTCTATCGCTTTGAAGAGACACCATGAGCAAGGCCACTCTTATCAAAGAAAGCATTCACGTGCCTTGCTTATACGTTCTGAGGTTGGTCTGTTATCATCACGGCAGGGAGCATGGTGGCATGCAGGCAGACATGGTGTTGGAGAAGTAGCTGAGAGTTCTATTACCTGATCCACAGGGAGAGAGGTTGACACTGGGCCTAGCATGGGATTTTGAAATTCAAAGCCCACCCCCAGTGGCATTCTTGCTCCAATGATGCCACATCTACTCCAACAAGGAACCACACCACCTAAGCCTTCTCAAAGAGTGCCCTTCCCTGGAGACTAAGCATTCTAATATGTGAGCCTATGGGGGTCATTCTTATTCAAACCTCCACACCACCTCCAGACTCCAAGAGATTTGAGCTCTGTGTTTGCCAGGAGTATATCCCTGGGATGGTCTAAGCTGTAACTAAGAGAACATGAGCAGAAGATAGCTTCCCTTTTATCCCACATTGATGCTCCCCCGCTTTTCTACAAAGAGGATGTGTGAAATTTCTCTTTTTTTTTTAGCTTAATATGACGTTCTCCCCACTTTGTGCTCTTATATGAGTATCATAAACACAACTTTGTCAGTGATGTTTCCCTTCCAATTCTGCAGTTGCTTCTAGGCTACAGTCTGAGACATTATACCAGGATATCAGATGTGCACATAGCCAGAGTTTTGTGGAACTCATCAGTTTCTCAGACATGCACAGACAGGTGTTCTCTTTGGGTGCTTAGCTGACTTTGGGCAAAGGAAAACATAGTGCACATTACTAAAATGGGAAACTCAGAGATTTGAATTGTCACACTGCTTGAAGAAGCACACCCACTGGTGAAAGGAAGTGACCTTGAGTCATTCCTTGTGAGTGGGCACAAATATCCACAGGGGAATTTCCTTTTGTAAGAAGCAGCTATAGAATGAGATGGTGGGGCATGCAGACAGGATACTACCTTAGTAAATTCCTAACACATTGAATAAGTTAACTATGTATGCCACCCTTGGGGAGCTGGAGGGATAGATGGCTCATGGTAAGAAAATAATCTGTTAAAAATGGAGTCAGGAGACATCTCATGATCCATGTGGGAACAGCAGGACTGTTTCCTCTCACTCTCCCCAATCCAGAGCCCCTGCACATACAAACAGTGTCTCTATTACACTCCCACACTGCCTACAGGGATTTTCCACTGTAAACTTAGTGAGGCCTGCACCACATAGCTCAGGGAAGTCCATGAATTCCAGAGCTTTCTGACATTCTTCAGAGGGCTGGACTTCAACCCTGCCTGTCACCTGGTGTGGAAGGAATACTGAAGGCTCCTGTCACATTTTCCCCCTGTTTTTTCTTAATCTCATCTGCTGCTTCCTCTTGTGGAGGTTGTGTGGCAAGAGAGGCTGCTCATCTCAGCCACTGGGAGGACCAGACTCTTCCCATTGCAGCGGCCACCTGGACACTTACCTCACCCTGCAAGAGCAGGGATGGAAGGAACATTGTGAAACACCGCCTCAGGGTCAGGGTTCCCAAAGGAAAGACTCTAGGGAAACTGGGGACATGGTCACCTCTGCCCTGAGCAGTGTAGACAGTGGGAGAAGAGGGACTGCTTCCTTAAGCAGTAGGAAAATTCATAGCTTTAACAAGAATTTATTGTATATATTTATTGTGCTGGTATGTGGTGTGTTCATTCCAGAAAATGAGTGTGAAGCTCAGAAGACAATTTGCAGGAGTTGGTTCCTTTCTTCCACCAAGTAGGATTCAGGCCTCAAACTCGTTGGGCTGGGCTGCAAGCACCTTTGCCTGGTGAGCCATCAGATGGGCCAAGAATTCCACAGTCTTGGTACTTCTGTCCAACCCTGCCACAAAAGAATGCATGGATGTTTCCAATTGGCCAAAATGTGCAAGTCACTAAATTTTAGTAGATGTTGTCGATATTCTTCTAGTGTTAGAAAGTAGAATTGCTTTTTATTTTCTCTAATTTCCATTTGTTTTCCATAGTTTACATTGATGTCTCAACATATGTCTTTGGGTAATTCTGGACTTCATACTCTAGAATTGAAAGCTTAATGACTGAGTTGTCTTTATGCTACACCCACTTAAATGGGAAATGTGACAGAGGAAAAGTCCATACATTGCTGGAGGAGAAATTCCATGTACTCCCTATGTAGAAAAACTAGGCATTTTTGATCAAGAGTCAGATGTGAAGCTTCCACAGCTACCGCAGTCTCAGGTACTAAGGAGAGAGTCGCAGGTATAATGTACACACGAGAGAACATGCACAAAAATGGTCACACAGCATAGCCACACATGTCCAAGTGGTCCCACATGACCTGACCCCAGAAACCTCAGAAATCCTCTCTGGAATGGAAAGTTGCAGTCTGTATATTAATCTATGCGTACACGCTAACACTCAGTTGTATTGCATAATTCTGTAACCATCCCCAGATGTCGGGATCCTAAGGGCAATAATCTCCCTAAGTGCTCTTAGTGAGTGGACACGCACACAGCCCTCTGATGCCCCAACTTTGCCTATAGGGTACTCCATAGTAGCCTTGTAGTCCTGCAACTCACATGTTGATCATCAGATGGCACTTGGCTCTATTTTCTAAAGGCTACTTTTTCATTGAAAAAGGAAATTATTTTATGAACAGAAAAAAATACTCCTCAAAATTGGTAACAAAATAATAATACCAACACACCATAATTCTCTTTGTGTATTGTAAATTATACAAGATTGAGTGAAGGTACACACACACTCACACACACACACACACTTCCTTCAGCCATGTCATCAATTTATTTCTGTGAATCTGTAGTTTATTGTATGCCAGGCATCATCATTCTAACCCCACTTCTACATGTCTCCCACAATTCCTTTTTCTCTCTTTGGATCTTCTCAAGTGGATTACAATGGAAACCATTCAAAGAGACTGCGTTAAACTGCCTGGTCCACAAAGAAAATCAAATGCTGCCCTGGGATGGCCCAAGTATGGATGATCTACAAGAAAGCAATTTGTTTAAGGGGACATTGAGGTGACACCAAGCACGTGACTTCCCTTTCCCACACTGTGGGACTAGAACCAGAGCCACAGGACTCAGAGAGGAAGAGGAACCACGTCTTCAAAGACAAAGACAGGCAGAGGGTCCAGGCTGAGCATGAACTCTCCTGATTTCAGGAAATGCTCACTGCAGGTTTCTCACATAGGAGTCACCTCCTCTCAGCTCTCCACGTGGGTAGTCTGTGAGCAAAGAGACACGCTTCTCCATTGCTGGAGAGAATGCTACTGTTCTCCAAGCCTATGGAGGGATCTGATGCTAGTAAAACACAAGCGTGCATTCTGGGGACCAGGGAACTTTCTTCTAAGGATCCATCCCAAAGAACACAGAAGGGGACACAAAGACTGTCAGAGCAACAATGTAGAACTCCAAGACCAGAACTATGAAAATCGTCTGTGGGAAGGAGAGAGTGATGGAACGATCTCAGGTGTATCTACGACTGCTTTCCTCTGCTTACTGACAGTTTACCCATCTAACATGATACTCCAGGACCCCTGGTTATCTTCTCAGTACAGAAACCTGGTGCCCACAAAAGAAGCCAGTATGTGAATACCTGGATAAACATTACATATCTGAAGGAATTGATTTGCCTATTTGATATGCCATATAATACACTGATATTTAAGGCAGTAAGTAGAGAACATGGTATGGAATTGAGCAGTCTGTGACTCCATATCCTGGAAGACAGAATATCAAACCCACTATCAATAAATTTTAACATGGACAGCAACCAGAATGAGGTGACTATGCCACACCCCACTTCCCAGGGATTGATTCAGTGTCTGTTGTGGACCCAGATATCTACCATTTTAATAAGGACTCCCTGCAAATGTGATGCAGTAATGCATGGCCCATTCAGGAAAATGGTCTGACGGGGATGGCTTCCATTTCAGTCCTGGTCATTTAAAGGAACCCATGCAGGTTACAGTCATCTGGGGAGTCTATTAATGTCATTGTTCCACAGTGTGCTGCTATTGCTGCTACATGCTCAACAGGTTGAGTTCCTACAAGGCATTACAGATCCCCTGCTGGTCACACAGATGGGAAGAGAAAAGGAAATGACTCACCTGGTAAGTCCCACATGATCTTGTCACTCTTGCTAGGTAACAGACTGACAAGACCACACCACACTTGGTTCTTCTCCAGGAGCTGGTTCTGCATGGAGAGTTCGCAGTTTTCTCCCCTGTTCTACTAGAAGGCAGAGAAAGGGGAGAGAAAGCTCATGGAGAGGGGAGGAAGGCAGATGAGAATGCTCATGCACTCTACTGTACTGAATATAGGGATGGAGTAGTCTGTCTGCATCCAGTCAAGTCAAAGATGTGCAGTGACATCTTCCTCTTCTTTGTTCATCTCACAGACCCTTCCTATACACACACACACACACACACACACACATGCACACACATGTATACACACACACCAGTTGCTCTTACGACTCTCACATACTAGGAATAAGGGCTCATGTCAGCTTCTTGTCAACCTTCTGCGTGTTCTCTCTGCCTTCCTGTTTTTCTTATCATAGAAGAGAGCTGACATTGACAGAAAGAGGACACAAAGTGTCACTGACAAGTAGCATTTTCTGGTGACTGTCTTCCATGGGTGGTCAGATAATCCAGAATTCTAAGCAGATAACAAATGAAGAGCAGGTCCACTTGAATTTGTGTCCTCTCATGGGCACGTTATAGGATAATTTAAGTATCAGAATGTATAATGGTGACAAAGGAGCACTCCTTTAAAAAAAATAAGTGTTTCTGAATAGACACAAACACATGAGTAAATACATTAATAATCAAAAGAGAAAAAGAAGGAAACTTTACTCAAAGACAAGCAATGCTTGTAGACTAGTAAGTGCACAGGGAAGTAGGTATCAGAGCAACACTTAGCAAGTGTCATGGTCATAATCCATATGGCAAGAATCATCTATAAAATACCTCCTCTGTACACAGCCCATAGCAGACACTGCTAAAATCTGCGTGACTGATGGGAAAACACAGGAGTACTAATCTGTTGTTAGTACTGTGGTGATATTTTTTTGTCCCATGGCAATAAAGCTTGCCTGAGGATCAGTGTGTGCAGATATCCACCAGTTAGCCAGAGAGGCCAGGCAGTGTTGGCACTCACCTTTCCCCACACTCAAGAATTCAAGGCCGTCCTGGGCTACATTACATTGATCCAGTTTAACAAATAAACAGAGTCAGGCAGTGGTGGCTCACATCTTTTGTCAAAGTGCTGTGGTGTCACACACCTTTCATCCTAGCACTAGGGAGATGGAGACTGAAAAGGATATGGCTGGGCCAAGAGAGGAATATAAGGTGGGTCAAGGCAGGAGATCCAGGCATTCAGTCTGAGGTCTTGTAGAGACAGGATACTCCATTCGGTCTGAGAATTTCATAGAGGAAAGACTAGTGGCTGGCTGCTCTGCTCTTTTGATCTTATAGCTCCAAACACTTAATATCTGACTCCAGATTTTATTATTAAGACCAATTAGAATTCACTCTGCAGTCACCTTCATGCAATGGAAGATACAGGTGTCTGTTCTCCTCAAACAGACCTATAGATCCAGTGCAATGCCATCAGAACTCTAACAGACTTTTCATAAAGTAATGGGCTTATCCTGAAACTCATAGGAATCTGATAAACCCCAGCTTGAAAACAACTCTGAAAAGGGACAAACTTGGAGGATGAACATCTGACTTCCAAACTCCTTATAGACATAGAGAAATGAAGACAGCGTGCCTGATTGGTAATGACAATAAGACATAAAAGAATATGAAGGGGACAGAAGAATCACACATGTGTAGGGGACACCTTTAGCAAAGACTCAAAGACACTTCCGTGAAGCAGGCATTTGCTCTTCACCAAGTTTTTCTGGGACTCCCTGTAGTGGTAGGGAGGTACAGCCCAGCACCGTGACCAGCAGCCTGAGGATGACCATGTCCCTTAGATGACCTTGACTCTGTTGAAGCTGGATCTATGATTAGGCTGCAGAAAAGCCAGGATGAAGCAAAGGTTGTGAGCTTATTAATGCTTTGGACAGAAGCTCACATAGAATAAGAATGGCTCCTGCATGATGGCCTGAGTGAGGACTAGAGAGAGACTTGAGATTAGGTGTCATTGCAAAAGGTGTGTGAGGAGGGCAGGAGAGTGAGAAATGTGAAGATTTTCATGGCTCTTAAAGTTACATTGTTTTAAAAATTACATGTAAGAATACTTTGAGTCTTTAAATGGGTTCTGTTTTCCCATTAGGAAAAATATACAATACGTTATTAAAAAGGCAAAAATATAAAAATAATCTTTTGAAATGTTCTCATCCCTTTTAAAATTTCTTTTAGTAAATTAAATTGTAAGGTAAATATGTGATTTTACAAGTATTCTTGTCCTAAGTAAGCACATTTAATTTATTGATTTTAATTTGTTTAATGTTTTTCTACATGGAATATGAGCACGACATGAGTGAGTACCTGTTGCCCAAGAAGGCACCAGAGTTTGAGATCTCTCGGAACTGTAGTTACAGACAGTTGTCAACCATCCGGTAGGTGCTGCGTATCAACCCTAGATCCTCTGGAAGACATCCAGAGATATTAAAGAAAGAAACTTATCTTCAGACTCTAGTTTATATTTTTGTTATTTTAAAACTTTCTTTGAGATGTCTTAGAAAAAGCTGTGTTATATCTGTAGATAATTTCGGCTCTATCAGTTGGGTTGAGGTTTCTTGAGTGGCAGTTACAAAAATATAAATTAGATCACAGGGTGAGAGGCTCTTTCCCCTCTCATGTCAACTTCAATGCCCTGTCTTTCTGTCTTATTTGGGACAAGCAGACATCCCCATGCACACATATAAATATAGACAAGTTGTTAGTCGCAGGATATAAAAGTCAACCCCAAATGAACAAATGATCTACACAGGACTAGAGAGACATCTCCGAGGTTAGGAGTGCCTTTGGCTATTGCAGAGGACCTGACTTTAGTTTCAGGCACCCATATGGTGGCCCACAGTGGCCTATAAGTCCAGATTCAAGGGAACTGACAGTCTTTTCTGGTCTCAGTTGGCATCTGCACTCAAACATGCATACGGCACACACAGACATACAGGCAGACACTCAGTAAGTAGTAAAAATAAATCTAAAAGGTAATTGATCCAAAATACAACCTAAACGTGAAACTTGTAGCAGAAAACAATTGAATGAATTACAGACAAACTTCTTAGATATAACAAACCCCCTAAGAACTGGATTGTTAAGAACTCCATAAAGTGAGAAAATGTCCACTCTTCCATATATATGTTAGAAACATATTTTTCTTACCTGGGAAAATGAATGTGGGAACTTGTGTATCATGTGACAGCCTTATTGTTTCCAGAATACAGAAAGCCTAAAAAAGAGCCACTAAGAAAATAGATAATTCAGGAAATAAAAGTTAGCCAGAAGGGTGAGTAGATGCTCCACTAAGAGAAACATACAGCATCAACATCCTTAACACTTAAGGAAGAGAGACAAGTGACTCTGAGGGGACTCTCGACACATCCATAAAATAGTCAGAAATAAAGACTTGTCATACAAAGACCTGGCAGGTTGTGGAGGATGAAACTCTCATACCCCCTGCTGGTGGCCATGGAAAACAGGACAGGGACTTGGGAAAGTATTTCCCAATTTCTTCATATGTTAATTGTCATATGGCCATCACATCCCCAAACATATAACCTAAAGAAAGAGAACATATTTTCTTTTAAAGACTTATTTATTTCAGTTCACAGCAGCTTTATATACAAGATACTGAAATTGAAAACAATCTAAACAGTAGCCAACAGGAAATAGACTCATTTCCCATAACTGGCATGGCAGCTCCCAACTATCTGTAACTATGGTGCCAAGGGATTCAATGTCCTCTCTTGGCCTCCACGGCACCAGAAATACATGTGATCTTCATACCTATATATAGGCAAACATATACACACATGAAATAAAACTAAATTATAAAACTTCCAGCGTAGCTATACATTGCTACACCATTTAATAGTAAGAATGAACAATTATCATGGGCAACAAAATAGATAAATTTAAACATATATTCAAGATGAATGAAGGCCAGATGTCTCTAAACTCTGGTTGTATTCTAATACATTCCAGCATATATAAATTTGTCTATAATGGCAGATTGTTGTATTTTCCTGCAGACAGGGTAGGGCAGTGGGTGGGATTGAGAACCTAAGTAACATAGAAATGAAACTTTATGGATTGGTAAATAATAAAGAAACTTGGACCTACCTGAGTATAAGAAGATGTCTATTGTCATTATGGGGCAAAGTAGAAAAATACTAATTACATTTAAGATTTGCTGACTTGGACTTCAGAGATGGCCCAGGGTTAAGAGGACTTGCTGCTCTTACAGAAGACCTGGGCTGGGTTCTCAGCACTCTCTTGGTGGCCCACAATGGACTGCATATCTCTTTCTAGGGGAGTAACCCGCCTTTATGCCCTAAGCAGCACACCCTGATCCTGAAACCAGAGCAAAAGAAACATACACTGACCCTGAGACTAGAATCAATTCACTGGCCCTGAAACCACAGACAAAAGGTTAAAAAGGACGGGTGAAAGAAACACAGCCTGTCCCTGAATCCAGAGCCAAACATGTAAAAAAGGCCAGTGAAAGAAACACACTTTGCCCCTGAAACCAAAGCCACAGAAACACACTCTTCCACTGACCAATTTGCAAAAAACTAACCAATCTCTCAGTGACTGTAACAACAAAGCTGTAACAACTTGGCTAGGGAAACCCTCCCCTACCAGAGCAGAGCTGTTAATTTGGGGAAAACTTTCCCTGAAGCAGGGCTGTGAGCTCCTAAGCTTAAGGTGACTTTGTGATATTCCTTGGCTCCCGACTGCCAGGATCCCTTTCCATCTTAGCTGCAATGCTTACGACATATACACAATTTTTAAAACCTTGCAGTCATAGGGTGCTGGGCACGTATCCCCAGGCTGCCTGATACCATTCTAGTCATGCAGATGCCAGTCACCCACAGGACAGCCTGCATTGTCAAAGCCTGGGCTGGCGGGATGACATTCACAGGCCTACCCGGTACTTCAAGGGGGCCATTATGGTGAGCAAAATGTGTGGTGGAGTAATAGGAGAGAAAGAGCAGCAGAATGGTTCATGAGCTATGAAAAGAGGGACAATGGAGGACGTGAAGGTGGTGAGGAACAGGCTGAGGTAGGTGGTCTTCTTACCACTCCAACCATCCGGACCCAGGCTGTTGTTAAGTGATATGTCTGGGTCTGCGTTAATGTCCATGGTCCATGTTGCCACCAACGGGCACACAGAAGCCTGGAGTCTGGGCTGCATCCTCTGGCCTTGTTGGTGTCTGAGGGCTGTGCTGTTGTCACTGGAGTGTCCCTGATCTGAGAGACCCAAGCTGCCAACCGGGGCCTTGGTGTTGCCAGGTCTGAGCTGTTGTCAAGGGTCTTGTCTGGCTTTGTGTCCCTACAGAGGCCAGGGTCTGAGCTCATGTCCATGGCTCCTGTCAGCACTGAAGGCCATGTGGTTGTTAGAGGTCTGGACTACCACCTGGGGCCATGCTGGTATCTGAGTGTCATGATGCCACTGGGGCCATGCCGATCTGTGAGGCCTGCACTGCTGCTGTTCTGTTAATATAGTTTCTGTGTGATTACTCAGGTCTGGGTGGCTGGGAAACCACAGTGCAGTCTGTTCACAAGAACTGGCACTGATGGCATGGCCATGGGACAGCTGCTCTGCCCCTAGCCTGAGCGGGGGCATCCCGAGTAGGCTGGACTGACCGACTCAGCTACATCCCAGGCCCATATTCAGGGCCTTGGGTTGGCTCATCCTAACGTCTCCCCCATCTATAACCGGCTGGAACTCATGAAGGGACAAGTCCTCTGGAAGATATCTGTACGATCTCCATTACTTGTTGTGGACCCGGAATGTCTGAAAAGAGTTTTGGTGAGGGTACACTGACGATGGTGTACCAGAAACCAAAGGCCACGAATAAGACCAAAGACTCATTGCAATGAATGTTTAGAACAAGAGCTGATTGGACAAAATGGTATAGTATGTGATCACCAAGGATCCCAATGCCACTAAGATGAATGAACAGATGTGTTGGATTATGGGAAAAGATGGAGGAGCAAAGAGGTTGGTAGTTTGCTTGGGTTCAGGTTTTCGTTTGTTTTCCCTTTGTTTTAGTTGCTCATTCTCTTGTTGGGCAAGGGGTAGATATGCGGGTACATCAAAATGAACAGATTTGGGTACATGATGTGAAATTCCCAAAGGATCTATAAAGAAATTACGTTGAAATTGTAATCAACAGAATTTGTTAAAGTGCATTTGTAAGTAGTAGGCAGCAGCCTGGTGCCCAGACAAAAGTCTCTGTTAAAATCTAGAAAAGTTGTTGCTACAATTCAGAAAACCTAGACAACAATGAGGACCCTAAGAGAGACATACGTGGATCTAGTCTACATGAGAAGTAGAAAAAGACAAGATCTTCTGAGTAAATTGGGAGCATGGGACCATAGGAGTGGATAAAAGGGGAGAGGAGAAGAAGGGAGGGGAGCAGAGAAAAATGTATAGCTCTATAAAATCAATAAAAATTTTTATGTTCAAATCACATTCTTAGCAAGCCTGTCAAAGGAGTCTTTTCACATCCATCTGAGACATTCACGCTTATCGCTGGTGATGGTTGAAGCAGGCATTATCACTAAAAGTTCAAAGGATTTGTGGATGAGCCATTCTCATCCCTTTTCACAGAGCCGGGAGTTGGGCGAGTGCAGGCACTGATGCCTATTTTATTTTACACAAACACCCCATCTTCTCCCAGAAAATGGCTTCTGGTCATTCTGAATCAGGACAGTACACGCTTGTGTATCCAGAAGCCTCCATGTCTTTCTCCCTCAGGAGATGAAGCAGCACCTTCTGGCTGGGATGTGAGCGTTTTGTCTTTCCGTGTCAATGGGGGTCAGTACCCACCATAGGGCACTCACACTCTCAGCTCAGTCCAAATATTGGGGGCGGGGAACCTCTGCTGTCCTTGTCATATCACCTCGTGTTCCATAAATGTCATCTTGGTAGCCTTAATGACATCAGGTTTCTATGACCACCATCCGGCACAAGCTGCATATAGAGATGCCCTAGCCCATCCTCCCTTGTGCCCTAGATTTTCTGACAGCAAAATGCCTTCGAAGACCTTTGGGCTGTGTGAGAATGCACCCTGAAAGAAAGCGGGTCTAAGTAGGGCTGGAGGAATTTCTCAGGGCTTAAAGTGCACTGTGCCACTGTGGAGGACCTGAGTGGCTTACAATTTTCTGTGACGCTAGATCCAGGGGAACCAGTGTCCTCTCCTGGCCACCATGGGCATGTGAACTCATGTGCACATATTTCGTACACAAATGCACTCCATTCTCATGACGAAAAATAAAAATAAGTCTAAAACTGAATAATCAATCTAAATAGACAATCTAAATAGGATACTTAAATACCTTCGAGCTCAGGACATGGATTCAAAACACACTTCTTACCCAGACCCAGAAAGACAAATGTAAAATGTACTCACTCCTAAGTGACTTTTAGACATAAAGCAAAAAGAAAAAAAAAAAAAAGAAACAGCCTATAGTCCATAACCCCAGACTGCCTAGACAAGAAAGAGGACCCTAAGAGAGAAATTCATGGATTTACATAGGAAGGAGAAAAAGACAAGAAAACTGGGAGTGTGAGGGTCACTGGAGAGGAGGAAGAGGAGAGGGAAGGAAGGTAGGGGAGTGGAGTAAAATCTATAGCCCAATAAAAACAATAAAAACCAAACATCTTAGATACAACAAACCTCTTTTCATAAGTTGAGAAGCTTGCTGTTAGGACGTCCATCAAGTGTCAGCTGTATGCTCTTCCAAGTAATGGTTGATAAATGAAGACAATGCCCTGATGGGGAAACACAAGTTTGAAAACCATGCACCAGATTAAGGAATCCTTGTATCTAGGATACAGAACATCTCACAGATGTCATTAAGGTAAGTGCTACCTATTTGTGTTCATGTAATAGAACAGAGATGATTCTAAATGACCAAGCGTACTGATTTTATAAAAATTGTAAATGTATATGAATCTATCAAGCAAAGGGAATCTTTTCAGGTTGCCTATTAAGATAAAATCTTAAACTACTGCCCTTCAAAGAGTAGATCAATTAAATGTTACACTGAAAACTTCGGAATGAACAAAAACATAGCCAGTTACAAATAAAAGACAAGCAGAGATAAAAATTCTGATATTAAAGAAAGGCTGAAATCAACATGCAATTAAGAGATATTTTTGAAACCCACAATAATTCCATGGGCTCAACTTTAGTGGCAAAATGTTCCTTTTTCAAGAAATATACCAATACTGTGGCATTTTCTTTTTGAGGAATGTGATGGCTAATCTTGGTTGTCAATATGACTACATCTGAAATCAACTAAAACTCAAGTATCTGGGCACTCCTGTGAGAGATTCTCTTGATTGGATCATTTGAGGTGAGAATATTCACCCTAATCTGGGCAACATCTCTGTTGGAAGACCACATCAAAGGACGTGAAAGAGGAAAGCTTTTGATTTTGCGTGCTATTATTCTTATTAGCAAGGTCATCTACCCTGCTTCTGAGGCATCCCTTTGCTGGAGTTAGAACCTACATTTTTGGGACTCCAATAGTGACTGAAGACCAGTAGCAGGTCCCTATGAATCCTCTAGATCTCCACTGCCAAACTGGGACTGCTGAGACATCCAGTCTTGTTGACTGAACAACTACCATTTATGGCTTTTCTGCCAGACAGAGCCATTGTTGGATTAGCTGGACCACAGTCTAATATCCCTTAGATCAGTGATTCTCAACCTTTGAGTTTGACCCCTTTCACAGGTATCAGATAAGACCATCGATAAACACAGATATTTACATTGTGGTCCATAAAAATAGCAAAATTACAGTTATGAGTAGCAATTAAATAATTTTGTAATGGTTGGTCACCACAATATGACGAACCAGATTAAAGGGTCACAGCATCGGGAAGATTGAGAACCACTGCTTTAGTGAGATCTAATTAATAATACGGATAAGGAAAAGCTCAGGAATAAGTGTGGATTGTAACACACTGCTTTCGATGCAACAATAATCATATGGGAAATAATACATTGAAAGATTTATTAAAGCTAATTTCCAGGTAGATCCCATTTACATCTATATGAACTTTCTGAAACCTGGTAGAAGACAAGCTACTCACTCTCCAGATAAATATGGAAGATTCACCAAAACCAACTCCACATGAGGCTGTTAAATCTGTACACAACTGCACATACAGATCAAAATATTTCAATTTGCAGGTGACTCAATGGAAAAAGACAGGCACATGTAATCCTGCCTGCCTGCTGAGTTCAATTCCCAAGACCCATGAGGTGAAAGGAGGGAACCTATCATCACAAACTGTCTTTGATCGGCACCCATGCACCTTGGAACTGGTTCCCTGAAAGGTACACACAAACACACACACACACACACACACAAACAATTTTTTAAACCCGGATAATTGTTCACCATGACAGCTGCTTACACATCTACCATACTAAGTACACCAACGTGTGTGTGTGTGTGTCTGTGTGTCTGTGTGTGTGTGTACGCTTGTGTGATCATGGGCTGGGAAATGCCATAGTACAAGACAGGAGGTCAGAGAACAATTATGTGGAGCCAGTTCTCTTCTTCAACCTTTTGAAGCAGCTTTTCTCTAGTTTCTGCTGCATACACTGTGTACTCCAGGCTCCCTGGACCACAAGCTTCCAGACAATTCTCATGCTTATACCTCCCATCTTGCTGTAGGAATCCTGGAATTACAGATGTGAGCACCACATCCGGCTTTTACATGGGTTCTGAGATCCGAACTCAGATCAGCAGTCTTGCCTTCGAAGCAAGCACTTTACCTTTCTGAGCCACCAGCAAGGTAAAACAACAACAACAAATGCAGCTGCTTGCTGACCTCAGTTGTTGAACCTTCCTGCTTTCTGTAACCTTAACTCAATGGGGATGACCTTCTCTACCCCTCTAGTCCATTTCCCTCCTCACGACAGTCACCAAAACTTACAGCTTGCCTACATTTTGTGATTTTTCTTGGAAATTAATAAGTTTATTCTTAAGAGAAAAACTCAAATTGTCTACTATGTAAAATAAAATAATACTTAACCATCAGTTTAGAAATGAAGGGGTTAGAAAATTAAACTGCAAGATAAGAGGGGTAGGGCATGACCAAAATCTCAGCACTAAAGGGAAGGAGGAAGGAAGATCATGAAAAATTTTAGTCCAGCCTGCTGTACATAGTGAGTTCCAGGCGAGCTAGAAATACATGTCAAAACAAAACCAAGCCACAGAAGAATATATACATAAGGGAAGGGATAAAGCGTACCCAAGTGTGCAGGATAGTTCTATATCAACTTGAAACAATCTGGAGTCCTCAGCCAGGAGCAAGCCTTAACTGAGAAAATGCCTTCATAAGATCAGGCTGTAGGCAGGTCCCATACAGCATTTTCTTAAGAGTGATTGATGGAGCGTGGTCCTGGTTCAATAAGAAACCAGTCTGAACAAGCCCTGTGACCAATCCAGTAAGCAGCACCCCTCCATGACTTCTGTACCAGTTCCTGCCTCCCGGTGCCTGCCCTATTGAAGTTCTTGTCCTGTCTAACTTTATGGTAAGCAGTGCTGTGGACGTGAAGCCAAATCAACTCTTTCCCCCCCAACTTGCTTTTGGCCATGGCATCTTTCACAGCAGTAGAAAACCTGGCTAAAAGAGAAAAATATTCCAAGAATGGTGAACTCTTTGCATCCATAAATGTAGGAGAAGACCCACATTTTCAAGAAGCTCAGTAAAACAAAGCAGACTCAGTAAGGATAAGAAACCCAAATTTTCTCTCAGATATAGAATCTAGAGTTGAATTTGTTTATGAGTGTGGCTGTGTGTGGTCATCTTGCAGGTCATGAAACTAGAATATAGACTACAAGGAGAAGAACACGGGCTTAAAAGAGGATGGAAAAGAGAGGGCAGTGAAATATGTGGGCCATGAAAGCAGAAGGTGCAACCTACTTGTGGATGGGAACACAAAGAGAAAAAGATATGTCAAAAACAGTGTTGAGTAAACCAGGAAGCGTATGAACCCAAGAAATACATGAAATGATTGATATAGGCAAACTTCAGAAAATAAAAACAAAGAAAAAACCTTGAGATCACGTTGAAGGAATTCTGTTTCTGGTAGAAGAAAAAAGACAAAAAGACAGCCACGTAATTACAACGAGGCATGTAGTCCAAGGGATAAAGCACAATATTTGTTAAAGTGCTGAAATAGAAGCAATTATCAAATCTGAATCTCTTGGTCTACATAAATTATTCTCCAGGATTATAGTGGAGATAAAAAGATATCATCAGAAGTAAACATAAGTGTTTCTCAATATGAGACACACTGCTAAAAAGGACTAAAGGAAGTTTACAAACAGAAGCAAATCTATAGAGGAAAGAGAAATATCTGGAAGAAAAAAGAACAAAATCAATGCAGAAAATGATTAAACAAAACACAAATTTCATTTTCCTCTTAATGTCTCTCAGTTCTGTGTGATGTTTTAAGCAGGAAGCATAGTGATGTGATGTGGTCCTCTATAGACATAGAGTAAATGTATTGTAGATGCTGTTCTTACAAGGGGTGATTGTGAAGGAGCTACAATTACAATCACATCAAATAGGGTTAGACTCGCAGGCAATCACGATATTTGAGTTCTACTCTCTAGCACTTATCAGGGAGATCTGGGATAGCTGCTGTAACATACTCCAAAGTGCTTTGGTCCTTCCATCCAGCTGAGATGAGAAGGCATTTATGCACACGGGATCATGTTTAACCTCAGGATTGCTAATGAACGGAAGATGAGGTATTTATCATTTTGAATGGATAAGAATGGGGGAAGGGATCTAAGTCACCCTTTTGTCCCAACGTTCCATTCAGTCTGGCGGACATCACAGCACACTGGGTTCTTCCATACAAACTCCTGCTTCTGGGTTGCAGAGATTAAATCCTTCACATTTACACTAGAAGGTGGCATAAGGGAAAAGAAAACTCATGAAATAGAGGAAACCAGGATGAGAAAGCACATAAATCCCAGGGGATGGAATGACGGTGCCTTGTCTGTGCAGACGACATCAATAGAAGGTAACAATGATGTTTTTCTTCCTCCTAGGTCATCTCATCACCCTGGGCATATACAGTGATAACTGTGACTGCAGAAACATACCGGGAATGTGAGCTTGTGCATTTCCCATTCCCGTGGCAAGAACTCCCCCTCTCTGTGTGCACTCAGGCCCCTACTTTCATGCCACAGACTTCCATGGGCAGCACAAAGAGGCAAGGGAAATACGCCAAACACATAAATACACAGGTTTTGTTTCCTCTCCATTCAGGCCCTGAAAATGATTCTTTGAGGTAGGCATCATTACTTCCTTTCCATACAGGGGCTCAGATAGTGCAATGCTTAGACCCAGAAAATTCTCCAGAGGCACCAGATGAACACAGATGCGATCTTAAATGGATTCCTCTAGCCAATACTGGGACAAAGGGAGCAAGGAAATAGAGAACAGCAATAGAGGAAAACAGTTTGGGAAAATGGGTGTTGAGCCATACTGATATAAGTCAGCACATGAGTAAAGAACTATGGAGATAAGTAAGCAGTAGACTAAACACCAGGTCATCAATGAAGAGGACTAGGAGAATTATAACACATAACCTATCACAGCAGTAAGTGATTAACTCACTTTCACAAATATATATCCAGGGACATATTAGCACAAGCGTGAGTATATACACAACACACACTAACAATTGTCAATGTAAACACAGAGCTCTCACCTCAAAAGAAGAAGAGAGAGTTCACTCTGGAGTCAAATATCTGTGAGTAAACATGAGTGAGACAGGTTTATCTTAGTGCAAAAATTGCATGTTACAATGCATAAACAGTTTCATGAAGTTTTTATAATAACAGAATGAAGAAACTATAGACTCTCCTTAAATTCACTGGTGATAATATTAAGTAGAGTATTATGGTAAAGCAGAGAAACCTCAGGTACAGGCACTAGCTGCTATGTGATGACACACAGTCCTTTGACTGGTAGAAAAGTAAAGCTTTGTTAAGGAGACATATTCTGATATTTTAAACTTGAGGTCCAAGGTCATCTGTTAGTGACAAGGTGTTAGGAAAGTCCAGCACAGGGGGACTAAGGAGGGGCTACTCATGGGCTCATGAGAACACAAAGGAAATTGTAATTAGGCCCTGGGACTGCGACTTCCACCATCTCCATATCACTGCAGGTCTAAGAGTCAATCAATCAGTCTTTGCAGACCAGCCTCTGCCAAGGAATTCCTGTACACACACACACACACACACACACACACACACACACCACCACCACCACCACCTCTGTTTCTCACTCTCCCAGCTCCCTGGTGTTTACTGAGAGCTCAAGGGGTACAACCACGTTACAACAATTCATCTCTGACCACACATGGGATGGTGAGAGCTACTACCATATGTGGTTTGAATGAGATTCCTGTGACGATGGTCATGGACTTGTCTCTGGGACATTTCTCTCATTTGTTTCAGACTGTCAATAATAACCTGTAAATGCCGATAAGAAAATAGGGACAAGCTGCATTACACATCAAATAAAGTTTTCATCATGGGATAATCCATGCTTTCAACAAATTATCCTTTGTAAGTTTCATTGACACTTGGTTCATGACAGTTTACAGAAGATTTAATAATTTGTTCACAGAAAAAACAATATGTATGAATTGTGTTTAAAAAATAATACCAGTTATAGATGAATCAAAAAGTACAAATATTTGTGAATAATCCCGACAGATAGATCCATAGTGCTGATAGACTGAAAGATTTCCAAACATTGCTGAATTGGAGACAACCTGTCTTAATGAAGGACAACTATGTTCACGGCTCAAACAATTCATTATTAGTAAGATGTCTGTTGATTCAAAACTGAGCTACAGATTTGATGCAGTAACAATAAAATTGCACTTATTTTTTTTTACAAATTGAATGGATAACTCTAAACATTGTAGATTAAATACATAGCTTGTGGAAAAACCTTAGAAATAGACTAATATTAGAGAACAGCATTGCCTGATAGGAGACCTCTGTTTGAAACTACAGTAATTGGACCAGCATGCTACTGAATCAATGTTGGCAAGAAAAAGACCAAAACCAACAGTCCACGCTCACATCCACACATTTACAGACCACTGCCTATATCGAGTCAACATTTTTCCTGTACTCGATGCTGGCATCAAGCTTGTGTGTAGTGCGTGTAGGGTGTGCTGAGAAGAACTGACCAGACTGCTGCTGCAGCCTCCCGGGCACTGGGATTACTGGCATATATACCATGATTGGATTGTTGGAGGACTGATGTTTCACAAATAATCAAGGAAATTTGATGCAGAAAGATGGCCTTTCAGGAAGCAATGCTGAGGCAAGTGTATATCCAACCCCACAAATATAAACCAGGACCTACATCGTATCATATGTGAAGACCTTTCAAAATAAATTACAGATGTAAAAATATAAAAATCAGCCTATAAATGTCAAACAGAACACAAGAAGAAAATCCCTGTCACTGGGTACCAGGCAAAGATTTCGCAGACAAGACACCAAATAAAAACCGTAATTGAAGAAGTAGAGAAGGTGGGATCTTACAATTTAAAATCTCCTGCTCTTCCAAAGACATGGATGAGAATTGACATGATAAGTCTGAGGCTAGGAGAAAAGTTAGTAATACATATATCTGATAAAGCATTTCTATGAAACATAAACAAAACCTCAAATGTCAGTCAGAAAGTAGTAATTGAGACCTGTGAAAGATTTCGGGTGTGCTTTTCAAGGGGGCATTGATAGGATCGCCCCTTTATAGAGATTCATTAGAGATATTAAGGCCATAGGCAGCGTTGCAGGGATTCTGAGGAGAGATCAGGGCCACCTGGCAGGGTGGGCCCCACGAAAATGGAAATTTAAATGCCAGACTAGTGCCAAGCACAACGTGTCCCACACCTGCCACCCCTTCACGAGGCAGCCAAGGCAGGAGAATCACTGAGAGTTCTGAGCCAGGGTAGGACACAGTGAAATGCTGTCTCAAATCCAAACAAAACCGCAGATTACTAAAAAGAAACTCCTCTAACCAAGTGCGCATTTTAGTATCATCTGAGACAGGAAGGGAAATTTTGGACTAGCATTGAGGCTTTCCCTCTTAAACCTCACTGGTCCTATGGGCAAGCAATCTCATGGCTTTTCACAGAGAGGGACATGTACAGACAGGGCCGGGGAGGGGGGGAAGGGGGCTAGTGGAGAGGAAGGTGCTTGCTGGTCATCCAGTAGTAATTTAAGCTGGGAATAAATAGCTGAATATTAACTCATTCGAATAATATTAAAACTGTTCAAATAGAAAACAATTGCTTTCTTTTCTGTTTGCCCAGAGATCTGACTGACTGCAACTTGGAAAGAAGACAGCCTTGCTATCTCCCTTCCCTCTGAAATCTCACATCCTATGGGCGAGCAATCTCATGCACAGAGTGGGAAGTCGGGATCACAGAGTGCTCATTTGGCCTCATCTCCGTCCTGCTCACTCTCCCACAACTCCCCTCCTGGACAATGGCTCCAGCACACCCCGGTACAGAACAGCACAGGAGGAGGCAGAATGGTCCCAAGTCTGTCTCCTTCCGGAGATACACAGGCTGCAAACCCCGAGGTAGGAGTGGGCCTACTTTCGTCTGGAATCCCTGCATCTTCCTCCCAACTTTCAAGAAGAATCTGGTGCTCACCTCCGGGAATCCATAAGCTCAACTCAGTCCAAATACCAGGAACTGAATGCTGCTTTCAGGACATCGTCGGGTTGCCATTTGAAAATGGTCGCCATAATAGCCCCGGTTTCTATGACAACCGCAATGCTGCCTCCCTGGTAGTAACCAGGAATGGCTCCGCCCAGCCCTCCCTTTCTTTCTGTCAGAGCAGGAACTCTTCACCCTTGTTTTCACCCAAGAAAGCATACCCATTAGAGAAACTGTCCCCACTACAAATGCAGAGCTTTCCTGTTTTGTTCGATCTGTGAACACAACATATCCCTGGAAGCATGCCCACGTTCTATTAACCAGACCATGGCGGTGTCTGTGGAAATGTCCTCACAAAGATGAACATTGCTGTCACGGTGATAAACGAACAATTTCATCCAATAATTAGCTATGCATATATGACCTCATCACGGGAATTTAAAGTATGGGACACCTTGCACAGAAACATCCTGAAAAAGAAAAGTCAAAGGTTAAAAGTATTGTGTTGGAGATGCCGGGGATCGAACCCGGGGCCTCATATATGCGAAAACATGTGCTCTACCTCTGAGCTATGTCTCCACACCTGGTAACAGCTTCATCAAAGCCTATGTGAATTCAGCGTGACCGAGCCAACATTCAGAGACTGCAAGAGTCTGCATCCGGTCCTTTGAGCATATTGGATTCCAGCTTAAGTTTAGTGTTTTGATAGCATTCTTGGGACATTTGTTGCATGAGAAAACAATCCATTTTCAATCAAAGAAAAAATAATAACAACAACAATAATAACAACAAAACTTATGCTTTGAAGCAAGGTAAGCTAACAATGAATGATACTTTGAATTACTCAGTCCCATCAATTTTACTTCAACTTTACCTTGCAGGTGGTTCAACATGCCAGTATCATGCGGAATTAATAATTATATGTTGTTGATATGCGGTCTTATCTGAGAGTTTGAATATCTTCCTGAAACCCTCTCTAGCATACCTCCTTTCTCTTTTAAAACACACCTTAGTTTCAGGGCTTGAAAGGCATTTTATAATCTTGATCAGGCTGGTCATTTTGTTTCTTAACGTTGCCAATACTGTCCATCAATTCATTCATGGCAATAACTAAATGTGCAGTAGCTATTGGTTCACAAAACCCTAAGGTGCTCTCACTTTCTTCATGTTTATGTATATCACCGCACACTTTGTGAGTTTCAAAAATGAGAGTTTTTCTGAAATATGTCTCCCTTTTCACACATCATCTAGTATATGTATGTTCAGATGAGTGAAAAATGAGAGTATTTTTTTAAAAGAAATCAATCTACCTTTTTTCATTTACATACCAATCCAAGTTTCTATCCCCTCCCCTCCGCTCATTCCCTCCACTTACCCTTCTACCAAACCTTTATCCACTCCTCAGAGAGGGTAAGGCACATTGCCCAGAGGAAGGACCAAGGCCCTCCCCACTATATCCAGGCTGAGCAAGGTATCCATCCAAAGATAATGGTTTCCAAAAAGTCAGCAGCAGCACCAGTGATAAATCCTCATGTCACTGCCAGTGGCCCTGCAGTCTGCCCCAGCCATAAACTGTCACCCACATTCTGAGGGTCCAGCTTGGGCCTATGCTGGGTTCTTCCCTGTCTGGCCAGAGTTGGTGAGCTCACATCAGCTCAAGTAAACTGTTTCAGTGGGTGTCCGCATCCTGGTCTTGACCTCTTTGCTATATTCTCACACTTCAACTGGAAAAAAATAATATATAGTACCTGAGACGATGCCAGACGATAGAAGACTGAGTCCACACTTAAGACATTGCTTAACCTCAACAATTATTGGAATACTACAAAGAATGATATCAAAACAGGGCTTTAATATATAACTTCTAGATAAAGACAAGGAGGAATGGCAAACAGGTGAGCTAGTGTAGGAGACTGAGAGCTACCTAAATTAAATGAAGACAAAAGCAAAAAGAGAGGGATGGAGGGATTGGAATCAAAAGGTAAATGAGGGCGACGGAAGAAGCAATAACATCTCAGTGCTGATTGTGGTCTAGGTTTGAGATGTTGGTGGATAAGTACTGATAATCAAATGACCTAGAAGTAACAAAATATGAGTCAGTGTATCTCTGTGAGCCATGACCCTTTTGTGTTATCTTTCTTTCAGGGAATCTTCCTTCCATTTTTGTTCATAATAGATTTTCCCCATAATCTATCCTGATTATAATTTCCCTTCACTCTACTCCTTCCAGTTCCGCTCCACCTTCCCTTCTATCAGAATCCATTCTGTTTCTATCTCTCAGTAGATAATAACAGGCTTCTAAGAGATAACAGCAAAGCACAACAAAATAAATTAGAATAAGACTTTAAATCACAATTATCAAATTGAAATTGGATGAGGCAAATGAACAGGTGTAAAAGAGCCCACAAGAAGACCCAAGAATCAGAGACCCACTTGTTCACACACTCAACAGCCCCACAAAAATACAAATAAAAGTTCTCCTAAAATACTGAAAGAGATAATATACACATTGAAGACCTGGTGCAGACCCATGCCTGCCTCATGGTTGCTTCTTTGGTCTCTTTGATTTTCTGTGAGTTGATTTAGAGGAACTGTACTCCAGATGGTAATCAATCTACCTCAAATTCCAAATGAAGCTCTTTCGTTTATACTCCAAGGACACGTCAGCCTACCACCAGGACACTTCCATGTGATAATTGTACTTTATCTTATCCTAATTAATTTTGTTATTTTTTTTTATCTCTTAGTAGCCCTTGTTTTCTAATGAGAATCAGCCAGGAGGTGGATCTGGATGGCATGGGAGGAGGGAAGGAACTGGGGAGGTTAAAGGGACAGGAAACTCTAATCAGAATATATTGTACAAGAAAAATATGTCTTTTAAACATAGGGGGGAATAAGAAATCTATCATGATGTCATGCTTCTAACACAACCTTGCTGAACAACTGTCCCTGCACACAGGAAAGGCCTCTGGGGCTGTGGTCCTCCCTTCTCACTTCTCATTCACTCAAAGCAAAAGGCCTTTCTTAGAAGGCTACCAACTGAGAAGCAGAACTAGCCTAGGTGGGGACTCAGACAATTGGCAGAACTCACTTTTGGAAATAATCCTATCTCCTGTCAGGAATTTTTGTATTATAGCAGTGAGTTTAGGATCTTCCATGAAGACATAGCTAGGGATATACAGTAGGACTCTGGAATATAAGGTAACTCTTTTCAGAAAATTGTTTAAGATGGGCCATCCACCTATGGCAGAAAACTTCAAGATTTTTCTCCAAAACATTGACTAAGCAGTCAAGCAACATTAGAAACCCAAACAACAACAAAAACAAATAAAAAATGCCCAGGAGTGGTATAGCTGGGTCTGGAGGTAGACTGATTCCCAATTGTCTGAGAAACCGCCATACTGATTTCCAAAGTGGCTGTACAAGTTTCCACTCCCACCAGCAGTGGAGGAGTGTTCCCCTAACTCCATATCCTCCTCAACATAAGCTGTCCTCATAATTTTTTTATCTTAGTCATTCTGACAGGTGTCAGATGGCATCTTAGAGTCATTTTAATTTATGTTTCCCTGATGATTAAGGATGTCCAGCAATTCCTTGAATGTTTTTTTGCAATTTGAGATTATCCTGTTGAGAATTATCTGTTTAGCTCTATACCCCATTTTAAAATTGGATTATTTAGTATTTTGATCCTCGTCTCTTTAATTCTTTATATATTTTTGGGATCAGTCCTTTGTCAGATGTGGGATTGGTAAAGACCTTTGGTCATTCTGTAGGATGTCATTTAGTCTTATTGACTGTGTCCTTTGCCTTACAGAAGCTTTTCAGTTTCACGAGGTCTCATTTCTTGTGGTTCTCAGTATCTGTGCTACTCCTGTTAGATTTATGAAGTGGTCTCCTGTGCCTATGTGTTCAAGGGTACTTCCCACTTTCTCCTCTATCAGCTTCAGAGCAACTGGATTTATGTTGAGGTCGTTGATCCATTGGGACTTGCGTTTTGTGCATGGTGATACCAATGGATCTATTTGTAATCTTTTACATGTTGACACCAGTTATCCAGCACCATTTGTTAAAGATACTTCCATTTTCCATTGTATATTTTGACTTCCTTGTCAAATATCAGGTGTTCACAGGTGTGTGAATTAATGCCAGGGTCTTTAATTTGATTCCATTGGGCCATGTGTCTGATTTTATGCCAATACCAAATTGTTTTTTATTACTATAGCTCTATGGTGAAGTTTTATTCAGGGATGGTGATGCCTCTGGAAGTTGTTTTATTGTACAGGATTGTTTTAATTAGTCTGAGGTTTTTTTTATTTTTTCCATAGAAGTTGAATATTGTTCTATAAGTCTGTGAGCAATTGTGTTTGGATTTTGATGTGCATTGCTTTGAATCTCTAGATTTCTTTTGGTCAGATTGCCATTTATATTATGATGGTCCATATTTATATTATGTTATCCAAGAGCATCCATGAGCGTGGGAGATCTTTCCACTTTCTGATATCTTCTTCAGTTTCTTTCTTTAGAGACTTAAAGTTCTTGTCATATAGGTGTTTCAGTTGTTTAGTTTTAGTTACCCCAAGATAATTTATATTTGTGGCTCTTGCAAAAAGTGATGTTTCTCTGAATTTTTTCTCTTTATTTCATCATTTGTATATAGGAGGGCTACTGATTGTTTTGAGTTGATCTTGTATCCTGCCACATTACTAAAGGTGTTTATCCGCTGTAGGAGTTCTCTGGTAGAGATTTTGTGGTCACTTATATGTACTATCATATCATCTGCAAATACTGGAAGTTTGACTTTTCTTCCTTTCCAATTTGTATCCCTTGATCTCCTTTTTGTTGTCTTATTGCTCTAGCTAGGTCAACAAATACTATATTGAAAAGATATGGAGAGAATGGACATCCTTGTCTTCTTCCTAATTTTAGTGGAATCACTTTGAGTTTCTCTCCGTGTAATTTGATGCTGGCTGTCGGCTTGCTGTAAATTGTTTTTATTGTGTTTAGATAGGTTCCTTGTATCCTGATCTCTTCAATACTTGTTATCCATATGG